TATATATATATATACTTTTACTGTTAATTTTGCTATACTAGCTAAGCCATTATCTTTTTTCCAGGAAAATTCACCATTCCCAGGTGAAAGATAACAGTGTCCTCCAGGCCAGGCCTCCCATCATCTTCCACTGTGCCTACAAAAAGAGCATCTGATTTTCTTCAGTCTCTCCCTGTAGTCAGATCTTCCATACGTTCTTTCCATTGTTTATGACAATATAGGTTAGCTGGTCTTCAAACATGTAACTTTGTCCTTGGAAATTTTTTTCCTATTTTTTTTTAATCCAATTTAATGACTATTAGGGTTTCAAGTTTTTTGCAGGGGTACAACTGTCTTGTTTGCTTGACCTGTTATGATATTTGCGTAATGACACCTGTAGGGAACCCCCACATTGTGCTCTACCCCGAAGAAAGCAGCACTAATGAGCATTGGGGAAGCAGGGATTAGATACTGCAGATCTGAGGTATAAAGTAATGCCCTGAGGTAAAGTAACGTAAGGTTCTATACTGGCACCTTACAGACCATTCACTTTAGTTCCAACTGCAAGCAGTAGAAGTTAAACTTACCAAGATGCCTTACGTGCCACATAGGATTGATAGCAGAATGCTTTCCATGAAATACAATCAGCATTGGAGGGGTTGCCACGCCTCCCCCGAGGGTGCTGCTGTAGAGGTTTTCCCTGTAAAAGAAAAAAAAATGCTCAAAATCCTAAGAATCTTTAGTACAAAAGGCAGAAGATTAAAAAAAGGTATTCTGGTAAAATTCAAAATTATTTTGAACAGACCAATTTTCAGCATACTCTTCCCTAATGCTGTTAATTGCTTTTATTTGCAACTCCAATTCCTGATGATTAAATCATTGCTACCAAAAAAAGATGGGAGTTTGACCCAACATGATACCAATTACTTGTACACAATGTCTAGAGTTTAAAAGGCTGACAAAGTTTACAGTAGAAAAAAAAGCTGGTAAAGGAACCAAACATGTTTTAGCCTGGCTTCTTAAGAAAATGTTCGTTATTTCCATGTTTCATTCCCTCATTCTTCCCCTTTCTTTCCCCCCAGCTTTTCAATCCATAAATTAACTTCAATAAGATTTTGCCAAAGTCTAGTTAGTATAAACTAACATCTACAGGATGACAGTTTCCTATTAATTTTGTGATCAATCCAAGGTTAGATAAAGCCCAACCTCTGTAAGGAGAGGCATTAGGAGGTGGCAGCCAGATGTTTGAACACAGCATGTTTGAGGCCTGGCTGGCCAGTTGGCACACAGGCAAAGCCACCCCACCTACAGGACGCTGTGTCACCCGCCTAGCCCTACAAGGAGGAAACCTGGGAAGTACCAGGAGATGCTTGGAAGCCACAGAACAATAAAAAATCAGAACCTCCCCTCGAAACTAGATTTCAACTGCCGAGCAATTTATTTCATTGTAATTTCAAAATCCAGCTAAAAGGAACATGAACGTGTTACTAAGGCATAAAATCTGCAGTGATGGGAGTATTTTCCAAACTCTTAAAAAAGCAAAAGCTATAGCCTGTCAGGATATGTTACATGAGCAGAGTAAGAGAAAGACATTGGGCTTTTCATTTGTTCACGTGCTTATCATTTGTGTCTCCCCTGTTCATTTCTGAAACTAACAAGTAATGGACACAGTCCCATAGCACAAGCTATTCAGTTTCAGCATAGCCTTACTAAATTTAAATGTAACCCTTTGCAGAGAAAGAAAATAAAGGTCAAGTTTGCAAATACAGGTTAGCAGTGAACTAACATAAAAATGAACAGTGATTGTTTCACTGTGTCATGATTTATTCGTGGTCAATGCCAAAAAGGTACCTTTCATGTCAAATTCCAGTCATCTATAGCAAAAGAAGTGTTTTCTACTGGTATTTAACAAATATGGTGTCCAGGTACAGTTTGGCTGGTTACAACAGCAGAGACCCCACACAAACAAGGAAACACTCCTCATTCTTTAGGCCAGCCTCAGGAAGGGAAGAGGGAAAGTGGCTTGACCCCAAGTGAGGCTGGGCACCCAAAACAAGAGGCACATGTTCTCAGGGTCCCTCAGAATTAAGTGTGGTTTGTGATTAAACACAAGAGCAAAATTCCAAGTGGCCATTTCCTGGTACACAGTTGGTCAGATTTAAGCAAATGGAAATTCTAGAATGTGAGTTACTTCGCTTGATGAGGTCTCAAAGAAAGATTGCTTGGAGTTTAAAAAACTTGTAAAAGCTTTTAAACAGAAAATAAAACTGTCAACTGAGCATTAAAAGTGAAGTGCAAAGGCAGAATTTTACACATACTCTACATTTCTTTGCATCCATTTTTCCAACTGCTTTGTAATCCGTTGATGTTTCCATTCGGTCATGTTAGCAACAATTACTCCAGGATTAAATGAGCAGGTGCTGGGGCTGATGCCAAGGTCTCTAATTGCTTGCTTTCTGTAGTCCAGGAATCCCATGTACGTGTTCTAAGGAATAAAAAGAAGTATGTTTATCCCCTATGACTCTCTAGAAAGGTAAGCATAAATGCGCCTCTCTACCGCTGAGACAGAGACTAAATACACACTTTCAAAACTGAATTTCTAGATTATAGTTACCTGTATTGATTTCTGTACGACACAGGCTGAAAGGCAGGATACTTCCAACCACTGAATTACTTTTTCCACAGTATTGGTCCATGGGAGGTTGATAAGGCTCTTCCCTCACCATGCATTTGTCTTTCTGTAGTTTACTCTAAATGATGCAGCATCACGCTGCAGCATCACGCTTGTACAGCTGCAATGCTAGAGGGACTCGCTGACAATTCTAGGGAACTCAGCTCAGGAATCAGCCTTCAAACTTGTTTTCCGAAGTTTCATTCCCAATTCAACTAACACAAATATCAGAGAGTCTGTCTTCATTACATATTCCGTAAGTGCTCATGATCTACTGTGATCAAACATGTACTATGTTTGGTGTTGCAAAACACCAAACATAATGTAGTAGAATCCAAAGAACAGTAGAGAGTTAAACGACTACAGGAAACAACTCTGCATAGCATTAGAGAGTTACTGCAAAAAAAGCTGTTCTTAATTACCTGAAAAACTTATCATAAAACTATTAAAAAAAATACTGAACTTTCACTTTGGGAAAAATGTGTAAAATCATCTTACATTTGTAATCATTCATTATCAGAATGCCAAAATGGGATCTTACCTGCATCCCTACACTTCTAACCATTTCCTGTGTAGAAGGCAGATCACAATCGTCTGAAAAAGCAGCAGCGTGTCCAGGAGCTAACTTGGTGTTGTAGAGCTCCTGGATGTCACCTGGTTACAGAAAGGTCAAAAGCATAAGAAATGTACTTCACTGCTACAGCATTGACAGGTTAACTTCTGTTCTCATCTACGTTACCTACAAACAAACCAATTTTAGCGGATAGCTCAGATATTAATGAAGACTTAATTTTGTAATACGGGATAATTTTCAAATTTGAGTCCTGTATGAGGATGTCTTAGGTCTGCATTTAGATATTATCATCAGTGTTCAATACATCCATATTCTGGTCTGAATGTCCAAAATCAGCTACAGCAGAAGCAGATCGCGCTGTCAAGAAGCCTGGTTACAAAGTTCTGCATTCCTAGAGCTTGCCTTTGGAGAAGGAGGGCACAGGCAATTTTTCTGAGCCTCTTCCAGTCCCACAGAAGAGCCACTTAAATCTCTTGCACAGATCAGGTTTTTCCTGGTGTTATTGTGATTCTAACTCCAAGTAAGATGCCTGGATTCCCAGCACCAGCCTGTTGACATGTGCCTGTCACACCCGACCATCCCTTCTGGCTTCACAGACCACCCAGCTCCTTCCTCGTGGAGGGAAATAATGCATGGCATCTCACTCATCACTGGACCAGCATGTACCCATGATGTGACAGAGCAGTTTCAGGGCAGGTGGGAAGCACAGAGCTCACAGCAATTAACAGAGTCTGCATCCAAACCCCCTGCAGGTACCAGCTTTGCTGCTGGGCATGGGTCAGTCACAGGTAAGACAAATTATCTTGGAAGGCCACATATGGCCCAGTAGCCTGAGGTAAGCTCATTAAAAGACTAGTAGCTGAAAATATTGCCCATACTTCAAACACTGGAACTACTATTTCTGAAATAAGGAGAGATTATTTATTTGTCTAAACTCATCACCTGTTTGAAAAACTTGGTTAAGGACCTGTGTTCCACCAAGAAATAGAATTTGAATTAATAGGACACTTAGTTGTTGAAGATCAACATGCCTTACCAAAGTATTTTCGCCTTATTCTAAATAGCTTCTGCTTTTCAAGAGAAAAACAGAAAAGAAAAAAAAACCCAACAAACAATTGTGGGCCGACACCCCAAGTTCAGTATCAAACTTTCCACTTTGCAGAAAGCGACAACAAGTAAATGATCCCAAAGTTCATCTCTGAAAACCTTATTCACTCCTTATCCTGTACGAAGTCTCATTGTGGGCCAACACCCCAAGTTCAGTATTAAACTTTCCACTTTGCAGAAAGCGACAAACAACAAGTAAATGATCCCAAAGTTCATCTCTGAAAACCTTATTCACTCCTTATCCTGTACGAAGTCTCATTTACTCCCATTGCAGAGACATCTAATAGAGAGCAGTCGCCCATTCCAGCTAAGACACAGGGAGTGGCTTCCAGAACAGCCTCCCTTCCTCCCTCCACCTCAGTCCCACATGTCCATCTTTATTCCCCTTTTCTGGGCCTGATGACTGCATGGCCCAAGGATGATCAAGAGAGTCTGGCTGAAGCAAAGGAAAAAAAAAATGTATTTTTTTAAAAGGTTTGTTTAGGGCTTTTTTTGGCTTTGGTTTTTTTTGGTACTGTTAGTCTTCTGCCAGGTCAGCCAGCTGAATCAGCTTAATCTGCAGCTGCACAACTGCAGCTACAACACAAGTAACAGGAGCTGCCTGGGGACAGGAGAGGCCACTTCCGTCAGCAGCAGCCTGCCAGGAGCTGTAATGTGAAACTGCACATTTATCCTACGGCTCCAGAAACGCTATCAGATGGCATGAGCTGACACCTCTAATGAAAGAGAAAGCTCTACCTCCTCTCTTCAAGCCACACTGCCTTGACTCTTACCAGGGAACTAATTTGGGCTGAAAGTAATCACATTTCTGGTGAACACCTGTGCAGGTGCAAGGAGGGATACAGAGGAAGTGGTTGGCTCAGCTTAAAGTGCTCATGGATCTAGAGTGTAAATGAAGACTTTTAAGAACTTTCCAAAGAGTTAAATATTGCTGTTGACAGAACAGCAAAACCAAAAAGCAGAGATAACCACTGGAAACACATGTTGAAGAGCTGTGTGATATGAAGTCTATTGCAAATTAGGAGAGCAGATTAATCGTATTTTATAAAGCAGCTAAGAGCAGCCCCTGTAAGTGCAGGTGTTCTGAAATCTGTGACTAAAGAGACAAAACTATAAAAAGGTACAGAGCAGTAGTGGAGAATAAAATTATACTTTTGTCACATGTAAAATCACTGATCTTAATGTTCTTACAGCAGATTAATTTAGGCCAAAAAGTTTATTATAGTTATACTCAGTCCTTTCCACTGGAAATTTTAATCAGAACATCCCTGTAATGTTTAACAAGGATAGGTAAAATGGTTTTGACCACATTCAATTAAAACTAAACCCATACATACAATTTTTTATCAAAATCATCTATTCAAAATATATAGAGAGAAGTTCTTGAGACCTTTCCTTCAAATAAACAGATTATTTGTAGTTATCCTGAGTACAACACTCCTAGCAGCTACCTCAGTTCCCATTATATCTCATATTTCCAAACGACTGTAAAAGCTGCAGTAACTTTGATTTTAATTCTGCTAAAGACTACTTTTTGCATGACAGCTTACCTTGAACAATGATATCATCATCCAAATATACTACTTTCTCATGTTTCTGGATAAGCAAAGGAAGATAAAATCGCACGAAGTTCAGCTATTAGAACAGAAAAAAGGTAAAGACTAAATGGTAAAGCTGTTTAATGTGGTAGTTTCACATTTCTGTCTCTATTAACAATCAGTTTTCATTTCTTTCTTCATTCTAGCCAGTGATCATTTGCTTCCTCCCCACTAGCTTTACTAGTATCTTGAAACCATTATTATTATTTATCCCTATTTTATTTACTATGGCCCTAAGCAAGCAGCCTAAAACAGTTACTTCTTCATAGAATCATTTAGGTTGGAAGGGGCCTTTTGAGATCATCTTGTCCAACCCGTCTTCTCAAGCAGGGTCCACCCATATTGAGGACCCACTTGGGTTTTAAGTATCTCCACTCAACAGCCTCTGGGCAACTTGCTCCAGTGTTTGACCTCCCTCACCAGAAATAAATTTCTAAAAAACAGTTTTTTGTGTCCAGAGAGAATTTCATGTATTTTATTTTCTACCCACTGCCTCTTGTCCCTCTCCTCAGGTATTTATACACATTGATAAGATCCTCCTAAGACTCCCTTCTCCAGGCTGAACAGCCTCAGCTCTAAGCCCCTACTCATATAAAAGATACTTCAGTCCCGTAATCATCTTCACAGCCCTGTGCTGGACTTGGCCCAGTAAGACCCTATCTTTCCTCTACTGGGGAGTTCAGAACTGGACACAGCACTCCAGATGCAGCCTCACAAGTGCTGAGTAAAGAGGAAGGATCACCTTCCTGGACCTGCTGGCAATGCTCTTCCTAATGCATTTTTACAGCACACATCACAGAATCTTAGGAGTTGGAAGGGACCTCGAAAGATCACCCAGTCCAACCCCCCTGCCAGAGCAGTATCACCTAGACTAGGTCACACAAGAACACGTCCAGGTGGGTTTTGAATGTCTCCAGAGAAGGAGACTCCACAACCTCTCTGGGCAGCCTGGTCCAGTGCTCTGTCACCCTTACAATAAAAAAGTTTTTCCTCATGTTCAGATTGAACCTCCTATGCTCCAGCTTGCACCCATTGCCCCTTGTCCTGTCATTGGCTGTCACCGAGAAGAGCTTGGCTACTTCCTCCTGACACTCGCCCTTTACAAATTTATAAACATGAATGAGGTCACCCCTCAGACCATCATACAAACACATCATACAAAACACTTGAAATTTAACAGTGTCATCATTCCACTCCACAGGAATGATTTGACTGGTGGCACAGATGTGGGATGACAACTTCTATGTTACCAACAAAGAACACAACAGAGGGAAAGGGGAGTGAGAACATAAGAACAACTATATCATTCAGATCATTTTACCCAGCACTTGCCTTCAGAGTGGTCCTAAGCAGATGCTCAGGGAAAAACAAGAACAGAGCAAGCATACAGAAAAGTTGTTCCAAGTATTCTCCCAGCTTCCAGCTATTTTCAGCTCAAGGAATTTCCTGAGACAGATGGGATCTACATATAAACTTTGGTCCTCACTGAATCTGTGTCAATTTTTACATTCACAAGACCTTTCAGCAAGGAATTCTAGAGGTTTAGTATTTATTGCATGAAAAACATGCAGCATTTCTTGTTTATTCTGTGACTCCTACTTATTTAATCCAATGGCCATTAGTTCTTGCATTGGAAGAGACAGTGAGCAACCACTCCCCATCCAGCTCTCCATGCCACTCAGTTCTGTAGACCTCTTCTATTTCCATGCTAGAAGTCACATTTCCAGGCGGAACAGTTTTAACTCACTGATTCCTTGCATGAAATCTCTTCCATATATTAGAAATGTCAAAGGCTTGGAGAAGGGTAATAAGAACAAACACTCTGAACAGACCTGAATATTTCCTGGTGGTGCTACACCTTTTTCAGATAAGGGGATGAAGATTGCATATAGTATTTAGGATGAGGGGAAAACTGGATTTGTACTGGGGCTCTGTTTTGATCCTTACCAATATTTCCTAATAATTTCTAGCATCTGATTTGCCTTTTCTGACAGCCAGGAATATTTAGATTAGTCATTAGCCTCTGAATTAACCCTGGACATGAGCAGAATGCAGCCAACTTAGTATCATGAAAGTACAAAGAACACTATTAGATCTTCCCTCTAATAAACCGTGAATATATTCTTAAAGATACAATGCATTCAAATTACCAAGTTTATGCCACCAAATAATGAGGTCCCAGCAAGTCAGACAAGTTGCAAGGAGCTTATGACAGTGCATTTTTCCTTCTTGAGAGCTTAGCATTTGGACCTGGCTTATACCCCTCCTGAATAATGGAACAGAGATCTAGGACTTTTTAAAGCCTCTAATAAGTGTTAAAAACCCTGAAAATTTGTTATGTGGCATTCATTTACTCACAGGCTGCAGTAGCTCAGGACGTGATGCATCTTGCCTGATCTTTCCTTTTAGTACCATGGGGTTGAATTCAACAACCTTAAATTTTATTTCTTTCAGTTTAGAATTTTCAATCCATTTTCTGTGATAAAAAAGAAGTGATAAAAGAAATGTTGAGTGTGTGGCAACTACTTCCAGTATTAAATTCACAGACTCATAGGAGAATAGGAGACTCAATCTATTCTATCCCAAGACAGAATCACTTATGTCTACAGCTATTGCACATAGACATTTATTTAACCTGTGGTTAAAAAAACCCCAACAAACAAAAAAACACCACCTAAAATATCCAAAGTAAATCCCCCACACCACTGTCAAAAACAAAGACTCCACATGTTGCCCAAACAACCCATCTTTCACCATCGCTAGCATTAAATGCTACTTTTCTAGGCTTTCTTGCTATAGTTAAAGACCATTTTTTCTTACGCTATCTGCTGTGCTTTTAAAGTAGAGGTTAATTTTCTCTCTTTTATAGTTTCACATATAGTTTCCATCAAGATAACTGGCCACATCACCTCCTAACTATATTTCCCTTAGACTAATTTTCTCATTGATTTATCAGATTTCTTGAAACCATGGCTTATTATTCTCCTCTGACCTCTCTTCTAAATCCTTCCTGAAGACACCTAAAGCTAAGCATCACATCTTTTTTCTGATGCATTAATAATAATCAGGAAGATCAGAAGTGGTTTCCTCACATTTCCTGTGGTCATCTATGTCAACATGTATATTCATTATGATGCACACCTTTATTTTTCTGAATCACTGTGGTCAGTTATCAGTTGCAATTCTGTAGTTTTCCAGATGAATGCTACCAAACTCCTGCTTCACCCTGAGCCAATACAATTGGCTATTTCCACCTACATTACCGCTACCAAATTTCATCACATTTTATAGTTCATTTTTCCAATTAATCATGATTAATTTGTCTTGTCCTGTTCCTCAATACCTGCTGCCGTTTCCAGCTTCATGCCAACTGCAGATACACAAAGAATATTCTACACTCTATTATCTAGGTTACTGAGTAACTGGATGGGGAAAAACTCCCTGTTGAGCCTCACTCATTACATCTTTTCACTTTGAGACAAATTGTGGGTACACAGGCTAAAGAAGTGCAGTAGCTAGAGGTGAGAACTGCTAAGAAATCTGCTTTAATTTTGATTCACACCTTCCTCCTCTTTTAGACAATGTTAGCACATTTTAACACCCAAACATGCTTTGACTACAAGCTTCTTTGGACCTGTATTTAAAACCTTTAATACACACTCTTACATTAAATTAGCTTTAAACAATAACCTTTTCTACAGTGAGGCTTAATACACAGCACCAGATGAGAGGTAAGGGCAGTGCCACAAAGTGAGATTGTGACAAGTAAGCACATATAATATTTACCTTACTACAGACCCTTCTGCAGCTGATCTACTAAGGCAGAGAGGCACAGGTATGGACATGGGCTGGCTATTTCACCATCTTTTACACCAGTGCCTTGCACAGGGCAAAATGGTCATTTTTCCTACACACAGAGAATCCTGGGGATTGCTACCAATAGCACTACTTAAATAAAAGGGAGAACATCCTAAAACGTCCTCCAAAGTCTATGCCCAAGCTAAAGAGAACAACAAACTGGTCCTAACTACAGCATGAAACAAAATAAGGCTGCTATATACCGAATATGTGGGATGGTGGTCTTCAGCCCAACTATGTAGAACAAAACATTGGCCTCTGTGTTGCTGTAGATGCTGCTGATTGCTGCTATCGTGGCACCCATTCTGCCTGCAGCAGCACAGATTATGACTGGGATTTCTTCTTCCACTTCCTCAGGACTCTTCAAATCAACTATAAGAAACAAAACAGTGCATTAGAATAGAAAATTAAGAATCTTTTTATATCAGATCTGGGTCACAGGAATGAGTATGTAGTTCTATAAGCAGTGGAATCATACCACAATCATCCCATTTCCTTACCACATCCTATACACATCTGCATCTGGCAAGGCGCACAGCACGAGCTGTCGCTAATCCAGAACTACACGCAGGTTGACTGGACTGTTGGATGCCTCCAAAAAGAATATATAACAGAGATTTCAGCATCTCCTACTCAGCAGGGACACAGTTCAGCCTGTCCTCCGTGTAGCTGCTTATTCACAAGAAACCTGAGGAGGCTTGAATACCTTTGAGACTTTTACTTCTCAGTACATATTGAGCAATAGGTTTCAAAATTATGAAAGGAAGGAGGTAAGTGGAAGAGATGGTGCAATTGCATGAGCTTCACTTCTTTGGGAAGCAGGCTAACAAGGAAGAATGCAAAATTTCATACCAGCAGGAAGCTGCTAATGATGAAAGGAAAAAAAACCTAAACAATACCAAAGCAGTTCACATTACTGCTAAGGAAGATTTTTATGCCTAGCACTGATTAAATTATAGAACTTACATGGATATAATCATACTAGTTAAAAGGTAACCATTAAACTCATAACAGCCACAACAAAAATACACTGGAAAAATAAATGGTTTACACCAAGACAGAGTTTGTTTATCTTGGGAACAGCGAGTAAGCTATTAGTATAAGCATTGAATATCAGTCCACTGTATTAAGCACAGCAAGTTTCTGTCACTATAAAAATTTCAGAAAAAACTTCCGCTGTAAATTATGTCCAGATTTGATGATCTATCTGAAATGAAGCACATTTTCAAAGGAGAGGGTTCTGATGAAAGTTTATTATTGCTTGACAACTCCAATACTATTCAGTACAAATAAGGATATGCTCCAGCTTCCATCTACATCAGTGACATCTGGATAAAAATTTGAATCAGAACGACAATTCTTAGTCATTACTATTGATCTCCTACTATTTTATTCAGGTAATTCAGAAGCAAAAAAATTTCCATCCCAGACTGTATGTAAGCATGTGAGTAGCTCATCTACTGCAGGGCAAGCAGGTTTCAGTAAGAAAAAACACTTTTCAATGGAGAGATAAGGACTATGAAACAAGCACATAAATGAAACAGAAATACAAGTCATTTACCTGTTTCATTCTTTAATGCAGATGGCACTTGGTGAACTTTGTTATACAGAATGGCGCACACAGTTAAGACAAGAAGTAACAGTAAGATCTGGTTAACTGAAACAAAAGGGAGAATGTGTTAACTATCAGTAAAATAGCTAATTCCCAAGTACACTTTTTTAAAAATCCAACTTACAACCACTACATATCATAACCTGTATTTGCTGTGTTTCTCAAATTCTCCTTTCTCTTGTTATTTGATTAAGCTAAAATTTTATGCTAAAAACACAATAGTATCTCTCCACCAACACAGTAATTTCCAACTATCTGATTTTCATGGATAATTTGCTCATTAAATTATTAAGCTCCCAATATACATGTGTTATCCATACTAAGAAATTCACATGTTTCTGAATTTTGCAAGGAGACTAGAACTTAATTTTCTTGGCTAGTTTGTTTACCATCACAGGACTTCATGAGTTAATTATTTTTACCTAGTCCTTTCCTTCTCTCACACATCCCTGCTAAAACTTCAAACACAAGAGAATTTTGGTTTTTATTTCAGTGTTCAGATCTTCAAGGTGTATTTGAGCAAAACTCTAAAAGTACTAGAAAAACAACAATGCTAGTAAGACCAGAAATGTTCCAAAATACTTGAAAATAGATAAACATTTGACAGTTCCTTTAACTAGTAAAGCCAAAACAAAGCATCCAATAGACCTTATAAGAAGGCCTTACTGTATATTCTGATTTGTAGATCCTACCACACTGTCTTGTACAGTTTAAGTCGTTCAGCATAAACCAGCCATAAGCAGGTAGCAGGACAGCTCAGCTCAGAGCACAACAGGCAAGGAACACATTGTTATCATTAACAGTGACTCTGATGATGGGCGCTGTTTGTGTCAGACTACTTTGTTACCTTTGCACTACCATAGAAGATATTTAAGGTGTACAAAAGAGCCAGAGGAGCAGAGATTTGAACTATTTCAATCAAAATGGCCAACTGGCCAAAACTGGGCATGAGAATAAACTGAAATTGGTAAACAAACGTCACTGAACCTGCACTAAGTTAAACCAGCTGAGGAAACAGCCCATTGACTTCAGAGAAATTCTGGGTGCGTAACTGAAGGCATACACTGAAGTCAATTTTCAGTCACTGACAGCTGATGAGAACCCCAAATTCTTGAACCCACACATGCAAGCATAAGCAGCATTAATGTGCAGGGTTCTGTAAAAAAGCCAGGTTCAGTGCTCTACACACAACCCACATGAAACCAGCAGCTACGTGCACCCTTAGTGGGAAATTCTCACTCACGTGGGGGACTGGGACTCCCTCCCAGACTCATGGAGTAAAGCACTGAGTAATTTTAAATTAATGGGATTTGTGGCCATACTTATCTGACTTAGTTAACAGGAAAAGGTTTAGTTGTATGCTTAAGCATAATTCAGCAAAACTAGAACTATAATTTTGCAAGCAACTGTTATAACAGTTGCATGAGAAATTGCATGTGACATTTCTGTCTTCTAAAAAGATGTATTTCAAATGTTCTTAATCTCTCTTACTTTTCTTTAAAAGAGCCATGTGTCCTGTCAGATGAGAACGGTGATCTGTGGTAAAATAAAAATTAAAAAATAATTCTTAAAAAATAAGTGAGAAAAATCATTAATACCAGCAGCAAATACTAGCTAGTTATTTCAGAGACAAGGTTTTGCATCATCAAATTTTACTACTGACTTGGTAAAACTGAACTCTGTCTTTGTAAATAACTTTTTTTGAACAAATAACTAATATTCTGGGCTACAACTACTATATATTTAAATTTAAGTTAGTAATAGGTTGAAAAGAACAGCATTTTCATAAATTTCATCCAGTCACCTACATCAGTGATAACTAATACCTTTTAACACATTTTAAAGTAATGTGCAAAGAAATATTAAAACATCTACTGATGCAATTTGTAAACACATTTACATTTATCTCTGACCTCACCTAAAACATAACAACAATCACAAATCCTAATCTCTTGCTGGAGTATGTTCCCAAACATACGGGAATCTTATACTGGAGCAGTGTCTTTCAGACTCAGAAAATTTCAGAGCAGGTTTTCTAACAGCAGTACCCTTCCACTAACAGTAAGGGAGGAGTTTGTGCAATGTGACTTTTATTTAAGCACATTATTTGTGACGCTGAAGCAAAGGAGGTAGCCTTCCCTAAAACTGTCATTCTAAATCAGGCCCAAGAGTGGCCATGACTTTTTGCCTGAGAGGACAGAATATAAAATACAGGATTATGGGAAATACAACATTCACTTGAATTCTGGACCCAAAACTACTGATTATGAAAAACAAACAAACAAACAAACCCACAAACAAGACACAAACAAAAAAACCCACAACAGTAAAAAACAGCACCAGAAGCTGTGGCCGGGGGGTGTGTGGAGAGGAATACAACTATGTGATCTAACCTTTATGCTATGGTAGCTGTATATAGGGCAGAAACCAATTTTTCCTGTTTCTCTGCATAGATGGACACATTACAGCATAGATCATGATATACAACCATTTCTATGCACACATGAAAATGAAGTTTATTCCAACTCCTTGTACGGAACAGCAAGAATTCTTGAAACCTGAGTCACAAAACTGCCTGCCTGCCATTGGTTAATGCTCAAGTTCAGGCGGCATCCTAAATTAGGGTCTACTTCTACAAGCAAGTTAGATTACAATGAAAATATAAAAAACCCCTAAGATGTGGCTTTGTTTACAAACCATTTACGTTTGCATGTATTTAGGTCCCAATAGACGACTAAATCCTGGTGAGAGAGGAGCGTATCTGAAAGTTATTTCACATCGGCAGTGCTTATCTACATTCCAGCAGCTCACTCTCTTCATGTGGCATTAATTTATACAGAAAGGAAACCAAGATTGTCGGTCAAAAAAAAAACAACCCACTGCTGAGAAAGCCCTTCTCTCACGCATTATGCACAAGTATTTTCTTATCTATTAAAATAAAAAGTGTACTTGTGTAGGTAAGCAGAGAGACAACAGAACCCCCCACAATCTTGAAGTAACTTTCTAACCTCACTTCAGCTAATAGCAATCTTTCACTGCTTTCCATAGGGCTGACCACTATCTTTTAACTAAGATTTGTAATGACAGCCACAAACAACACTGATGATCACTGCAAGATGAAAGTTGGATAGCCACAGCCTCATGATATCTTCAGAAATTATTTACATTGACATAAAGTGAACCACATTTGAAACTTTAAAATCCAAACCCAGACAGACTCTCATGCAAGTTTGAGTTGTAAAACTACAGCATTTCTAAGCCTCAGAAACTCAGATTGATTACCCACCAATCTTTAAGGAAAAAGAGGAATATTTGTTCCCCTGCAAATATTTACTCATTTTTTTCTGACTGTAGACATTAGTTCCTGGAACCTGGCAGTGCCTAACTCAGTTGCCAAATCCTGTAACAAAATGAGGGGCTGCAGAAGGGAAAGCTCAGAAACAGTGACATTACTGCTCAGATATTTCCTGCTTAATTAGTCTTTTTACCTCTTCAAAGCAGCACAGTATTCAGGACTCCTCTCTCCTGAAGAGCTGTAGAGCTATTTACTCGGATCCTAGATAGCCCACAGCTGTAAGCACTCTTGCCAAAGCTTCCTTGACCATCATCCTCCTTTGAAGTCCCCCACACCAGGACCTTACAGGGCACAGTAACAGTTTTAAGATTCAAATCCTTTTTCAAACTCTTCAAAGTTTACTTTGGAGTTGTGCTGGTTTTCTTTTCTTTCTCTGCTGCTGAGGAATAGCGCAGAGTCCAGACGCCGCACTAGAGGAATGAGAGCCCATAAACCACTTCCAGATGTGCAGAATGATGATGCGGCCCCAGATCTGGCAAACTTGCCTCAGAGCTTCAGCTTGCAGATTGCAAACAAATCCCATAAGACAAAAAGTCTTAAGGAGGAGGGGGAAAGAGAAGGAAACAAACCCTTCCAGAAGTTACTTCAACAGTCTAGTTCCAGGTTACATGTCTAGTCATTATTTACAGTAAATGTGAACAGAACTAGTGTGCAAGAGCCAAGCGACAGCATGCCAAAGTCAAACTGAAAGCCAAAGTTTTGCCAGTGTGTTTGCAGGGTTCCTGCAAGTCGAAAGCTAAGGGAAACTTGCAAAATTCAACTCTGAACAAGCATTATGACTTGAATCACCTAATTTCCAAATCTTTGAGCAGTTAACCTAAATCCATAGGTTTGGTTTGGATTCAAAGGGACCTTAGATCAAGGTAACCAGCAAGTGTTGATATTCTGCCTCCTAAGGTCTCCTGGAATGCTTTTGCAGTGTTATTTCTACATCACTTCTTCTATTCAAACTCTCTTCCTACCTTCTATATAATAAACACTGTTTTGTCACAATACTTTAATGAGTACTGAAAGGAATAATATTATTCAATTCCAAAATATTAGATTTTTAGCATGAAGCAGTGCAAAACATATGAGCAGTATTCAGTCAAGGTTTTAAAATCCATAAGGGTTTTAAATGAAGACTTGTTCTGCTTGCAGGAACTGAAAATGTGGGATTTCAACTGTATGTCTCAAACATGCCAAAACTGTATTATCTGTATCTGATTTTGTACAAGAATCCATCTTTTGCAGAGCTGCTTGAAGGAAAGATAAACTGTTGCAGTCATGTGCTTCATGTAGATGGCCACAACTATTACTGTGTTTTCTGTGCTACAGTATCTTTTAAGCTGTGTTAAGCTCGTGTTCACCAAAACCCACCAGTGTTTTGTTCATCTCCCATTTCTATGTGCCCTCTGAACAGAACTCAGACGAACGCAGCTGTATGAGCCTGCAGCACTGGGACCATCTGCTTCACCTGGCAGCAAACCCTGGGTTACTGGCAACCAGTAGCACCTTCTCTGGATTTCCCTCGGCCTCATGTGTTCACGTTCTCACTTAACAGCCCCCTCCACAGAAAAGAGCGCAGCTTGTCCTGCAGAATGAGATCTTCGGGTTTACGAAGATCATCCGCTGTTAACTGCAGAACTGAAACCTTGGTTTCTGATCTCAACCTTCAGTGCTTAAACCAGCAACTCATTTCTTTCTCAGATGTATCGGGTAGCGTAGCTCGCCTACCATTTGTAAGTTAAAAAAACCTCAAACAAAAACTACCACTCATTTCTGAGGGTTTGAAGGCAGAGTTGGGTGCCCTAAGCTAAAGAGCACACACGACAGCCATGGTCACCCGATTCCCCCAGCAGCCCGGGCCGGCAGGCAGCAGCCCCGACAGATGGAGTGCGGTACGGGCAGGCTTTCCTCTGCCAGCCGCCCTGTCCAGTCCAAGCACGGCTGACACCGGGG